AGCCACTGGTGCGTGGAGAAAGTCTAGCATAAAAATATTTGTTGAACTGGCAAACATTCTTTCTCTAGGGTAGAGCACTATGCTGAGAAGCTGTGGGATTCCTTTTTGTTATAACAAACAGGAATAACTGGGGACAGAATGGAGGATGTTGAATGAGACCTGAAAACCAGCCTGTGCTCCCTTTGCCAAGCTGTGTGCCCTGGCACAGGGTTGCACTCAAAGGTGCATGTGGAAATGCAATGTGGGTTAGCAGTAACTCCTTGTAGAGAGAAATTCTTGGGAAACTGATTTTTGGGTACTGATTTTTTTTTTCCTCATTTGAAAAAACACTCCCTCCTGGTGGGAAGAGGGAGACTTTGGGCTTTGGGGGATTGCAGCTGCCTTTGAGTCATCTATGCTCCTGTAAGGAACTGCTCACCTTACCTGTAAGTAACCCCGGACAAACTCCCTGATTCACTAAGCTCATCCTGGTGGAATTTTCTCCTTTGTCTGTCACTGTCTTGGAAGAAGAGACATTTGCTTTTGTCACTCTATGAGAAGCCACACAGTACCCTGCAAGTTGAATACAGGTTAAATATCCCTTTGACAAGTAGCTTTGCAGTGTATTGAGGATTTCTGTGCTCCCACCACGGGTGATGCTAAGCTCATTAGCAGCATTGTCAATGTCCTGTCACTTACCTGTGGGGTGCTGCATCCTTAACCCCAGAACTCTCCGCTTCCACATGGGGTGTTAGAAAGAACACAGAACCCCACAGCTTGAACACTTTTCTGTATTTTTCAAAGTAATTTTATTCTCAAGTATCTACTCCAACGTGAAATCATATGTTATAGAATGTTCCTCAGGCTTGGCTTAATAATACAGGCATTGATTGTTTTGAGATTGCAAGTAGAGCCTTGTTAATATTTTCAGCTCATCTATGCTTACATCAACTTCCATTATCTAGCATTTTTTAAAAAAATACGAATGTGTCCCAGTTATCATTGGTGGTCAGCTCTTGACATAGCCCAGAGTCATTAAAGGGAATCTGAACTGGGGAAACTACCAAGATCAATTTTTTCTGTGGGCATGTCTGTGGGGAGTTGTCTTGGTTGTTATTTGATGTATGAGGGCCCAGCCCACTGTAGGGGTCATCATCCCTAGGCAGGGCTTAGGCTGTATGGGAAAGCTAGCTGAGCAGAAGCCAGTGAGCGAGCCAGCAAGCAGCATTCCACCTAGGTCCCTGCCCTCAGGTTCCAACCTTGAGTTTCTGCCCTGACTCGACTCAATGATAGATTGTGACCTGGAAGCCAAAGCCAAATGAAATCCTTTCATCAAGTTGTTTTTGATCAGAGTGTTTTATCACAGCCACAGAGACTAAGGTGTGATGAAGTAGGCCATCTTGTTTTTGGAGGAGAATTGTAAATTATAAGCTGACATAAGCCTCTTCTCCCCCATGTTGCCTTTGGTCAGAATGCTTTATCACATAAACAGAAATCAGACAAGTAGGGTGCTATTGGTACTTGGGATATGTCAGTAAGCATTGCCAGACATTTGCATTTTTGCTGTTTTCATCCCTTATAGATGCTACCCAACATCCCCAAAAGTTTTTAACAGAATTGTGCAACTCCCAACGAGACCCCCAGACATATTGCTGTACTTGTCATGGATTTATAGACAAGTGAGATCAGAGAAGAGCCAGGACAGGACATCTCAGGATACCTTAAATCCTGGGCATCCATAGCAGGATTGGACCATCATTGTTATTTGACTATGGTGTCCATTAACTCCCATGTTCAAATTCAGTCCCTATTATGATCTATCAAGATGCTGTGCTTTTAGAAGGTGACCGGGGTGTCATCCTCGTGAGTGGATGAATCAAATCACATGATCAATAGATTGATGTGTTGATGAGAAATTGTGAAGAGTGGGGTCTGCTAGAAAGCCAATTTGTCCAGGTCTTTTTTTTCTCTCTCCCTACTCTCATGATATCATGCCAGTCAGTAGCAAGCATGTGGGAGGCACTGTTGAGAATTTTGGTTTCAATTGTTTCATATTCTGCTTGTTTCCCTATGTGACATACGAGGTCTCCAGACACCAAATCCACCCATCTGTGTGACAATTGTTGTGTATACCTAGCGCAGTGCTGCAGGCTCAACATGGTTGGCATGACGTGTTTTGTCTCATCCTCATGGCTGCAGCACTCCGTGTGAAACAGTCTACACATGCCAGGTACTATGGCATGGACCTGTAAACCTGGCAACTTAGAAGGTCAAGGCAGGAGGCTCATGAGTTCAAAGCTAGCCTGGACTATAAAGTGAAACTCTGCCTCAAAAACACCACATCCAGCATAGCTACCAGCAAACTCCAAAACCCAAACGAACAAAAACAACAAAACCATGGCTGGCAAGAAGGCTCAGTGGGGAAAGCAGCTGCCACGCAAGCCTGAAGACCTGAGTTCAATCCACAGAACCCACATAAAGGCGGAAGGAGTGAGGCACCTCCACAAAGTTGTCCTCTGACCGCCACATGCAAGCTGTGGCAGGGACGCTCCCCCACTTCACAGACACATAAGAAACATAAAATTAACTCAAAACCCCAAGCTGAATAAAAATCCAGTAACACACACCAACATTCCATCCCCACTTTTCAGAGGAGCAAACAAAGCTTAAAACAAAACAAAAACAAAAACCAAGTATGGAACTTTTCCAAAGCTCTGTGTTCTGACAGTCAGATGGTGTCATACTGCAAAGCCATTGAGAAGAGCCTGGGGAGTGAGGGGGTTAGGCAGAGGCTTCCCTCAGAAGCCCCACCCCCAGGACACCCCAGGCAGGGGTCATTGGCATCCAGCCTGTCACCACCAGGTCCTGATTTGGAACCTGGGAGAGGGAAAGCCTTTGGAGGTGTGTGTGTGTGTGTGTGTGTGTGTGTGTGTTTTCCCCCTGGATGGCACTGGGAAGGGTAAATCGGCTACTTCATGAATAAACCAGGATGGAATGTGGGCACCGGTGCCAGTTTGAGAGTCTGCTGCTTGGAGATTCTGGCACCCCACAACTCCCCAGCCTCCCTGAAAATAAAACAAACTCCCAAACACGGGGAGAGGAAGGAAGTGGTTGGTCTTATAGAGACTGGGAAACAGGTGTGATAGCTTCAACTTCCGGGACTTTGAAACAGGAGCAAAATGGAGACCTGACAAAATGGATCTCGACACCTTCCTCCATGCGTGTGTTTGTTTCCTAACACTTCCTGAGATTATCCGTGTGTCAGATTCTCTCGTGGCTGCCTCTGCAGCACCCACTAATAAACACAGCGGCCATCCCAGTCCTCATACAGCTTGTAGTCTGTGTAACGACGGGACACACACAACAAACAGAATGAAAAACAAATGAACTGAGTTCTGGGGAGATACACGCCAGCCAGCAAAGGCATCTGCTGTGCAAGCCTGGGGACCCAAGGTCCACTCAGGAACTCCCATAAATAGGTGGAAAATGGCAGAAAAACCCCTCCACGCAGCTGTCCTCTCACCCCCACTCACATGCTGTATGTGCCCCCTCCCCCCATAAAAACTTAAAAGTCTTAAATAATAGCTGGAGAGAAGCACCTTGTACTGAAAGCCACAGGGAAGGTGTCTCCCAGCTTGGAGGGGGCTTTGGTTTTAGACTTTTAATCAGGTCTCATGAAGTGACATGGAAATTACTATTACTTCAACTATGATGCTGAGCACCATTCTAGGCACGTCACAGTTATCTCATTAATACAGTCACCCAGAAACATAGCTATGATAATTCCCGTTTCACAAGGAAACCAAGGTTCAGAGATCTGCACTGATTTCTGGACTCAGTCCTAACAAGTGGTGTGACTGTGATTTGAACCAAGCCAACAACTTCAGCAGTTGCGCGCTTGAGGGCCGGTGCAGTCTGCCAGGTTTGCGGAAGGCCAGTGAGTGGGTGTAAATGGAACCTCTGCTGCACCCAGGAGAGGTTTTACCGGTGGGTTTGTGGACGTACTTGGTGCAGGCTGCAGGAACCTTAGCCCAGCTGAAGGAGTCCCGTCTTTGGTGGAAGTTGCATTGGCTAGCTGCAGAAGAGGTGGGCCTGTGGGGGAGGGAGCACGCAACTGGGGTTGTCCCGGGACAGTGTCTGTGTGAATTTCACCCCGCCACCACCCCCACCGGGGACCAGCTGCTCCAGTCAATAAGAGAGGGTCTGGATCCTGGGAGCGACAGGGCTCAGCCCCAGGCTGGAGCGCGGTAGAGGAGTCCCCAAACGCATTGGCTGGAGACCCTGGGGAAGGACCGAGGGGTGGAGGAGCTGCTGGGAATAGTCGGACAAGGTCCGTGTGCAGCAAAGTGGGAACAGACAGGACAAACTGAGAGAGAGAGGGAGTAAAGAGTAAGCGGGCTTTCCCCTGTGTCAAGAAAGTCGTGTGGAGGTGTCCTGTGTGAGAGCTTTAAAATGGGCGCCAGAGAGAGGCAAGGTAGGCGTGCTGGCTGTAGGAAGAAACAGGAAGAGGCTTTGACCCTTGCGTGCTGGGCAAGGGGGTAGGGGCAAAGCCCAGAAAGGAGCTGAGGGAATCTCCCGAGGACCGGCCAAGAATGATGCAGGCAGTGCCCAGCGCACTGCAGAGAAAGAACCTGCCAACATAGAGGCAGCCTTGGGCTCTGGAGGGTGGGGGTACTCAGTGTGGCTACAGCATGACGCAGAGCCTGCAAGCTCAGAGCATGGGGCGTACTGTGGTTCACCCATGCACGCTGAGGTCCTAGGAAAGCACAGGGAGAAGCCGCAAAGTCCAGGGAACTTGGAGAGGGAGCGCACGCACGGCGCAAAGAAGCACAAAGTTTGTCTGCGGAAGGCTTGGTTAGCGCTGTGCAGCAGAGAGCTGTGCGGTCCCGGGCAAAGCGCAGAGAGCCTAGTGAAGGAAGGCAAGGAGGAGGTGTGGACCCCAAAACCCAGCGCAAAGGGCGATGGGAGGCAGCGTCCGCGGATTTCTCTTCTGCAGCACTTTTGGTCCCAACCCCACTCACCATGATGGAGAAGACTAAAGCCACGATGTTGACCGGGTACGCTGGGCAAAAGCAGGAGACAATGGTGAGCCACAGATAGTTCTGAGGCGGAGGCATGTCCTGCTCAGTTTTGTCATCTTCCGTGTTGGCTTCTGGGCTGCTGCTGTCCAAAGCTCCCTTAGAGTCTGAGCGGGAAGCATACTGGGACATGGGCGGCGAAGTCGGTGACACCGGGAGGGATGAAGAGCGCACTGTCCTCGCAGCCTGGGGCTCCGGGTGTCCGCTCATGGTGAGCAGAGGCTCTGAAAAGCTTGCCGCTCTGGGCCCAAGGGAGATGTGACCTCACTTCTCCTGCGTAGGCTGGTCCTCTGCCTGCACCCGGCTGGGCTCAGGGACCTAGGCCAAGAGCCTCCCCATAAAGAGGGAGGGCGGGAGAAAGTAAGTGAGGGGAGGTGGGGAGGGAAGAAGGAGGGAGCCTGTCACCCTGGGAGGCAGAGGAGCAGCTGAGATACTGCGTTCACTCACACCCGGGTGCATGCACCGGCTTCACACCAAGAAGTCTTTTTTTTTCTTTTTTCTTTTTCTTTTTTGTTTTTCTTCACAAGTTATTCATTATCTATCCCGATTGAAGCCCCCTCCCTCAACTCCCCCCAGTCCCACCCTTCCTCCCTCTTTCCTTCATCCCCTTCTCCTAGTCCACTGAAAGGGGGAGTTCTCCACTATTGTCATCTGCCTATAGTTTATTAAGTCTCATCAGCACTGCTTGGATCCTCTTCCTCTGTGGCCTGGCAAGGCTGCATGCATCACCAGGGGTGAGTGATCAAAGAGCAGTCAACTGAGTTCATGATAGAGGCAGCCAGCCCCTGCTCCCCTCACTCAGAGATCCACATGGAGACTGAGCTGCCAGTCGGCCACATCTGAGCAGGGGGTCTAGGTCCTCTCCATTCATGGTCCTCTGTTGGTGCATCAGTCTCTGCAGGACTCCCTGGGCCCAGATCTTTTAGTTTTGTTGGTCTTCTTGTGGGGATCCTGTCCCCTCCATGTCCCTCTATTCCCACCCCTCTCTTCCAACATAAGACTCCCTGTGCTCTGCCCAAAGTTTGGCCCTGAGTCTCAGCATCTGCTTCAATCTCCTGTTGGGTGGATCCTTTCAAAGGACCCTTGATAGTAGGCTCCCATCTTGTTTCCTCTTTTCCAATGCTTCTATCTATCCTGTTTGCCAGTCTGAGTGAGATTTAAGCATCCTCCCTAGGGTCCTTCTTAGTGTTTAGCTTCTTTAGGTCTGTAGATGGCTTTCCTATATTATACGGGTAATATCTGCTTATTAGTGAGTGTATACCATACCTGTCTTTCTGTTTCTGGGTTACTTCACTTAGGATGATCTCTTCTAGTTCCATCCATTTGCCTGCAAATTTCATTATTTCCTTGCTTTTAATAGCTGAGTAGTATTCTGTTGTATAGATGTACCACAATTTCTCTATATTCCTCAGCTGAGGGACATCTAGGTTGTTTCCTGTTTCTGGCTATTACAAATAAAGCTACTATGAACATAGTTGAGCAAATGTCCTTATTGAATTGTGGAACATCTTTTGGGTATATGCCCAGGAGTGGTATAGCTGGATCTTGAGGTAGTGCTATTCCCAATTTTCTGAGAAAGTGCCAGATTGATTTCCAAAGTGGTTGTACAAGTTTACACTCCCACCAGCAATGGAAGAGGGTTCCCCTTTCTCCACATTCTCTCCGGCATGTGTTGTCACTTGAGTTTTTGATCTTAGCCATTTCTGATAGCTGTAAGATGGAATCTCAGAGTTGTTTTGATTTGCATTTCCCTGATGACTAAGGATGTTGAGCATTTATTTAAGCGTTTCTCTGCCATTCTATATTCCTCCATTGAGAATTCTCTGCTTAGCTCTGTACCCCATTTTTTATTTTCAATTATTTTTCTTTATTAATTACACATTATTGACTTTGTATCCCCCCTGTGGTTTTCTCCTCCTGTCCCAATCCCTCTCTTCCTCCACCCTCTGCATGCATGCCCCTCCCCAAGTCCACTGATAGGGGAGGACTTCTTTTCCTTCCTTCTGATCCTAGTCAATTAGGTTTCATCAGGAGTGGCTGCATTGTCTTCTTCTGTGGCCTGGTAATGCTGCTTCTCCCTCAGGGGGAGGTAATTAAAGAGCAGGCCAATCAGTTCATGTCAGAGACTGTCCCTGTTCCTATTACAATGGAACCCACTTGGATACTGAACTGCCATGGGCTGCATCTGTGCAGGGGTTATCTCCATGCATAGTCCTTGGTTGGAGTATCAGTCTCAGGAAAGACCCCTGTGCCCAGATTTTTTGGTTCTGTTACTCTCCTTGTGGAGTTCCTGTCCTCTCCAGATCTTACTTTTTCCCACTTCTTTCATTAGATTCCCTGCACTCTGCCCAAAGGTTGCCCATAAGTCTCAGCATCTGCATTGATAATCTGCAGGGCAGAGCTTTTCAGAGGTCCTCTATGTCAGGCTCCTGACTTGTTTCCTCTTTTCTCCTTCTTCTGATGTCGAGCCTCTTTGCCTTTCTAGGTAAGAATTGAGCATTTTAACAAGAGTCCTCCCTCTTGATTAGTTTCTTTAGATGTACAGATTATAGTAGGTCTATCCTATATTATATGTCTATATGAATGAGTATATACAGTATGCATCTTTCTGCTTCTGTGAACCCCATTTTTTAATTGGATTATTTGGTTTGTTGGTGTCTAATTTCTTGGGTTCTTTATATAGTCTGGATATTAGTTCTCTATCAGATGTAGGATTGGTGAAGATCGTTTTCCCAGTTGGAGGCTGTTGTTTTGTTCTGCTGATAGTGTCCTTTGCTTTACAGAAGGTTTTCAGTTTCACAAGCTCTCATTTATTAATTGTAGATCTTAGCCTGAGATCAACAGCCTGAGCTGTTGGTGTTCTGTTCAGGAAATTGTCTTCTGTTCCAACGAGTTTGAGGCTCTTCACACTGAGAAGTTTGCAAAAAATGGCTCAGGGAAGGAGGGATCAAAGCCTTTTTAGTTTTAAACTGTCTGCAAAGGACCATCTCAAGTTTTAAAATATTGCCAGATTTGAATCGTTCGAGGGAATGAGATTCCTCCATCCAGCTGATAAAAGACCTTATATTAGACTTCTTTCCCTCCACAGGAGTGGAGGAGACTGGAATATGCACTTGGTACCTTCCATCCCCTTTTCCCCCACCCCTCCAACACCCACCCCTGCACTCCACCCCCACTCCAGTGGAAACAAAGAGGTCCTCTCTCTACTTTGCCACTTACACAGCCCACGGGGAGATGCCCAGGTATTTTTAGCTGGTGCAAACAATCTGGATGGATAGATGGGATAAAAAGAGAGAGGGATTCACTTTGGGCCCTGGGGCCAAGAGAGCAGCTGTGTTAGGATCTAAGCCATTCCCAAGAAATCAGAGCAGAGACTTTGCCCAGATGGGGCTTGGTCACAGGAAGGAAAGTCCTCATCACCTTACCCAATTTTTACATTTGAAAAAGGCAAAATCACCTTCCTCATGCAAGGGAGACATGAGATCACACATTAATCTAGGCAAATCTATGTGTTCAATAAATGTTAGCAATTTTCAAGGTTCTGGTTTCTTAGAGTAGAAATGGGTATGCCGTATCTCAGACCCAGGATTCACTAAGGCAGATATTTCATCTGAAGCATAGATAGTCAGAGCTTGGTGGGACCATAAACACGATAATAAGACTAACACACCAGGCTTCAAAAGCAAGTACACCATCCTCAAAGGTATTAACCATCGCGGCCTTCTCAGAATATAAGCGTCATCGTCTAGAATGTTCTTGCTTATAGCATGGGGGTCATACGCATTTGACTATATTTACCTGCTTGCTTCATTGGATTGCCAGTTCTGAGACAAACAGGCTGAGAGAGAGAGAGAGAGAGAGAGAGAGAGAGAGAGAGAGAGAGAGATTGAGACCCTTTATATCAGTGTGAGGACAGCATGCCGTGCCGTACAAGCTTGTTGGAAGAACACTTAGATGAAATGGCTCTTTCTTCATTGTGCCCTCTTCTCTGTTTTGGTTGGTTAACCAAGTTTGGATAAGCTAAAGGATTGGATTTAGTCTTTGTATGTTTGTGATGTGATATATATATATATATATATATATATATATATATATATATATATCTCACCATATATGTGTATGTGTGTGTGTGTGTGTATTGCTAAGAATGGCCCTTCACTTACAGTGATCCTCCTGCCTCAGCAACCACACCCAGCCTTCCATTTGGCCTTTGTCATTGCTGGTCCCTCTGCCTAGAATATTATTCTCCCAGGTAATTTCTCCTTATTCTTCATCAGTTGGTTCAAAGTCACTTTCTTGAGACAGACCTTATCAAGAGTGGGTCCAGTTACTGTTGGGTGATATCTTATTAGCGTGGCTATTTGTGTGTGTGAGGCTCACAGTGCTCCTTTGTGGTGTGTTCTTTCTCTACCTGAGAGGCTATTTTATGTGTGTCTCTAGCACTTAGACTTATGCTAGCACGTGGAAAGGAAGTAAGACTCATTGCTCAACGCGAGGACCAGAGAGAACTGAAGAAATTGAGATTTGAATCTTGGGCAGTTCTGGAACTAGAAATCTATATTTTTGGTGCCTGAGAAATCCATATTTCTGAAACTCTATTAATTTTGGTATACTAAGGAATGTTCTTTAATCTCTAGATTTTAGGTTGTAGCCTTGGCTCTTTAGTCTGGAGATTTCCCTCAGCTCTATAAGATCTACCTCAGAACCTGCTTCTCAGAGCCAGCCTCGACTAACAGCCTGTGCCTGCTCCTCCAGCGTCTCTGTTTTTCCTGTTAGCCTTTCCCCCTTTCTCTGTATTTCATCTGCATTGGCTTTTCCTTCTTCTCAAACACCCACAGTGCTTTTCCACCCCAGAATCTCTACACTCGCTCTTCCCCACTCTCGGAATGTTCTACCTCCTCCCTGCTTCTTGGCTCTATCTCTTTTGGACCCTCATGGGTTACCTCTTCCCAGGGGACCACCCTATCCTTAGTAGACTCTGTCTTGTTACTTTCTGCCTCACTTACTTGCTTACTGTCTTTGCCTAAGTCACCATGATCAGATATTTTCTTCGTTTGTTTCTTTGTCTGTTACATTGGTCTCCACAGCCAGAGAGAAAGCTCCACAGAGTGGATATCTTTTCTCTTTGGTGGGCTGGGGGTTCTCCTGCACCCAGAACAGCACCTGGAATGCAGCAAGTGCACAGTAGATAATTCATTGAGTGAATAAGA